GTTAGAGAGAAGGTTCAGGCTGGACATCAGGAGACACTACTTTACAGTTAGGGCTGCCAGGCTCTGGAATGAACTCCCAAGGGAGGTGGTGCTCTCTCCTACCTTGGGGGTCTTCAAGAGGAGGCTGGACGGATATTTGGCTGGAGTGTTATGAACCCAGCACTCATTCCTGCCCGGGGCAGGGGGTCAGATCCAATGATCTGTTTAGGTCCCTTCCGACCCTAAGAACTATGAAACTATCCTCTTGATTGAAAACAGGGGCAAAATATTCATTTAGTTTTTGAGCTGCACCTATATTATCTTTCATCTCTGCACCATTCTAACTACAGAGCAGCTCCACATTGTCTTTCCCCTTTTTATTTATATGGGGGGGAAAACTTTTACTATTTTCTTAAAATTTCCTTTGCAAAGTCCAATTCAGCTTGACTTTTGCCAGTTCTGTTTATCTCTATACTTCCTGACCTCTCAGCTGCAGATTTCTTTGCTGATCAACCTTTTTTTCCATGGCTTACAGGCTCCTTGCTTCCTTCTAATATTCTTGTTCAATGATTATTGATCCAATTGGTTTTGGGTCCTTCCCTAGTGGGATGTAAATTCCATATAGCTTCATACTTTGGACTTAAAAAAAATAAAATCCAGGCCTTCTCTACATGCAAGGCCCTAAGCTTGTCAATCCAGTTGATTTAACTAACTGGCTCACTTAGTTTATTCAACCTTGCCCTTTGGAAATCAAGAACCTTAGTTACAGACCTGCTTTTGTTTATCCTTCTGTTTCTTTGAAACTGAATCAAGTTGTGATAACTCACTACAAGGTTATTTCTTACGACCAGCCCTCCTACAACATCCTTCTGACTTATCAAAGCCATATACAAATACATCATTGCTTTACCAGTTCAGTAACTACATGACAAAGAAATCTGTCACCTATTGCACTGAGAGATAGGTGGGCCCCACCATTATAAGCAGGGTATGCTCTCTAGTCTTCATCCAGGAAGCTACAGTCTCCTGTGACACAATTCCCAGTAGCAATTTGTTCTCTGATAACACTGCAGAAAAAACTCAGTCCATGTCCACATCTAACCCAGGGAAGCTACAGCAGATTTCCTGTTCTACCTCCCAGAGCCCTTGTAGCATCCTTCGGTTAAGTGATTTTAACCCACAGTGATTCTGCTTAATTCATGCTTGCCCTTCTAAATTCCTTGCAGTCATCATCTTCTGAATGTAAAGCTGTTGTGGTGGGAAAGGATTGGAAAAAGCAGAGCAATTCTCTTCGTCCTTGGAGAGTGCCTGACAGGCCCAGCAGAAGGGCTGTGGGACAAGGTGAGTAGTGCAGCAGGCAAATTTGTACTCGGTCTCCCAGTCTTGGGTAGCAATGAACACATCTGGGTCCAGACCGTGTGTATTAAAAAGAGAACCACAGACAAGCAATGTCAAGTGTCTTTATTCAGTGCAGTCAGCACATATAACACGACATGGGCCTTCTCTAGCCATAGCACTGAGGCTGGGACTACCTCAGATACAGGGCTAGTGGTAGGTGACCACCACACACACCATCCTAGTTCAGACTACAAATCCAGAGCAACCACACACACAGACAGCTCAGCTCTCCATCAGGGACAGAGCACATGACACCCTCCTCAGCACACACAGCCTAAGCCAACACACAATGCCCTTGCCTTAGCTTACAAACAAGGGGGCATCTGCATGTTGGGGCAGAAGCCTTGTACTATGAACAGAGGACTGCATGAGATAGAAGAGCCAGCAGCCTGTCCCTAGGTAAAAGCTGACTGCATCCATGAGACAGCTCAGAGATGTACCAGAGTGCAGTGTCCTGGAGGGAAGGAAGCAGGGGCAGGAGGCAAAACAAGGAAATGGGGTTTTCCCCAAAGGTGTGTCTGGGTGGGGGGGTACCACAAGCATCCACTTCAGAAACTCTCTCCAGTCCCCTACCCCTACTGCTTCCAGCTGCTCTCCACGCTGGCTTGGCCCACAGCACTTCCCTCTCTAAGCACAAGGAGTTCCCCAGCTGTTGGCTAGGTGCTCAAAAGCTGCAACATCCCTGAGGTAAAGCCCTTTAAGATTCAGCACTGTGGCAGGAAACCACACAACAGCTGGGCTGTGTGGGCAGCAGGGCACAGATACCTGAAGCGGGGGTGGGAAGGGAGTGGCAGAGTGAAGGGAAAGCAGCAGCCTTTGTAGGAGACCCCACCACATGGCACAGGCTTTGGGGCCCAGGCAGGGACTGTGGTGACAAGCAAACTGGGGCTTCAGCCCCAGTGGCTCAATGCCCCCTCATGTGTCCTGATCTCTGTGACCACCTGCCCAACTTCCTATTTGACACAGAGCACTGTCCTGGCTCTGCAGGGGGGCTCCCCACACACTCACAGCTCCATTCGCTCTCGAGGGGGGGAGCAGCACAGGGGGGGAGCAGCACAGGCCATGCTCAGGCTCCTTCACAACACACTCTGCTTGCTATGGCAGCCTTCACACATCCACACCAGGAGTCCGGGCCAGGCCCAGTGCCTTCACCACGTCCTCGCTGAGGTCACTCTTCAGGGTCCTCCTCACTGGAGAGGAAAGCAAAGGTGTGAGAGGTTGGGGCCTGCTGCAGGGATTAGTTTGGTTCTAGAAAACCTGGTCACTAGAGACCCAGCACACAAGCAGGAACACTCTGCCTCCTTCCCCTCCCTGACATCACCTCTGCTCACTCAGGACAGGTGTCCATCAACCCCCTCCCACAGGTCCCATGGCTGTACCAGAAGGAGACTACCCTCTGTAAAATCCACATGAGGGGCCATCTGAGAAGACTGACTGAAAAGGAGCCTGGGCCCCTCCCCTGCATGACTCTCTGATGCCTATGGGCAGCAACAGAGGAGCAGCTGCTCGGAGAAGTCTGACACTGGGCTTCACATATGAGAGGAACTGGAAATGTGACACTGACTCACAGTCCAACCAGAGACCATGGAGGATGCAGCCAACAGTTTTGTTTCCCAGCTACCCCCTGGAAGTGGTGTGGAAGAGAAGGCAGGAGCACTCCCCACCACCCCTCAGGGGACATGGCACAGCCATGGTGGCCCTGCCTGGGCGAGACACTGCCTGGGGACTGACTTACAGGACTTCCTGTTCACACGTGACCTCTTGCGTTCCTTGGCGGCACCTGGCCGTGGGTTGGGATTGTGAGTGACAGATTTCACTAAACGATCCATGATTTCATCCGATGCATCATCAGGGGAACTGGAAGTGTCCTCCTGAGCTGGGGACCCACTGGAGGGGCTGGATTGTCCCACACCTGCAGAGGGAGCACTGGAAATGTCAGCATCCTTAGTTCTCAGGGTGCAGAGCCACCTGCACCAGAGCTGCCAGCTCTGCTATCAACCTCTCCTGTAGCTCCTCTGACTCATCTCCTTCACAGCCCTATCTGGCTCCTTCCTTCTCCAGACCCTCCTGCCCAATATCCAAACTTGCCCAGCAAGTCCTCAAACCCACTCAACTGCTTCCCTTCCCAAGCAGCAGACCCTCACCTGTAGCTGTCTTGAACATTCCCCCAAAGCTACCATCCTTTGTACTCTTAACCCAGCACACCAGCTTCACAACCCCTCCCCCTGGCCTGGTAACCCTACACCTCCCTGCTGCCTAGTAAGCCCCTCTGCCCCTTACTAGCAGCCAAATGGCAAATTCCTAGTGCTGCCTGATGGATGCAGAAAGCAGCAGGAACAGAGCTCCTTTATCCCTTCACCAGCCATGGAATAGCATGTAAGGCTGAGGCAGGGGCGGTTGACTGGCTGGTTTGGCCTTATGCCCCAGGAGATCAAGCTCTCGGCACGTGGCCTAGTCAGCAGGACCCCAGCAGTTTGTGGAAGGTGGCGTTTCACTCTATTGGGCACTGCCATCCCTGGCTGCCCAGACAGCAGCACCAGACTAGTGCCAGGCAGATTCTGAGACATGGCCAGGAACAAGCATGGCCTGTCCCATCCCTGCCACTGACACCCTCACAAGCAAAGGGCTTTACTGGGCACCAAGAGGCAACTGAGAGGCTGCTGCAGAATGGATCTACATGGCAAAGAGCAAGCTGCACCAGATGGATACACTATCCATAGCACAGCCTGTTGGGCCTTATCTTGAGACAGTGTGAGGAGCCCTTGGACACACTTTGAAGGCCCAGAGGGGACAGTTGGGGGTTGTGAACCAGTACAGGTACAGCCAGGGCCAGGCTAGCTCCTGGCTCCTGCTCTCCCTCTCCCCAGCCAGTTGCAATGCCAGCACTGGATTGAGTATGGCCCCTACCTCGGCTGGCCCTGCTGCGCCGGGCAGGAGTCTCTGTGGAGGAGATCAGCATGCTCTTCATGCTTTCATGGCCTGCCTCAGCCTGCTGCTCGGGGCTAGTAGATACTGCAGGCACAGGGGAGCTGGTCTCAGTGCTGCTGGCAATGCTGGAGAACTTCTCTGTCTGCAGCAAGAGGAGATGCTCAGTAGGATAGTGGGGGGGAGAGAAGGCAATAGTGTTCTCAGGCTCCCTGGGGTGCTCCTTGGCTCATTACCTCTGTGATCAGCCGGCCCCGGGTCTTGTTCCTCTCACGATGCGCAGCCCGTTTCTTTTGTTGCTGTAGGACGCGCTCCCAGCAGGTGCGGTACTCCAGGGCGAACTCCCGCAGGGTCTTGCAGAAGCGAGTCACCTTCACATCTCGCACTGCGTTGGTAGGGTAGCCCAGGTACAGCAGGAAGGAGTGAAACCTGGAGAGGCATGGCCCAGCAGGTTAAGCAGGGGAAATCAAGGCTGCACATGGGTCCAGTCTCAACCTGACACCCTCCCAGGTACACTTGGAAGCACCCAAGGTCTTATGCAAATCACTGGGAGAAGGCAGAAGAGTATGAACAGCCAGACATGGCACCTCTTTCCAAACACCCCCACTTACATCACTCGGACATCCCTATCAGCTGGACCTGGGCTAGCCTGCTTGGACATCCCTGCCGTCCTGGGGCCTCAGATAATTCCCTTGGGTGCTACTGCCCTGGTGGGACTCAGAACAGCTCCCTCAGACACTCCCACTCTCCTAAGATCTGGAATAGCTCATTCAGACACCCCCATCCTGCTGGGACTAGGTCTGAACTCTGGGTCTCTCCACAGGAACATCTACAGAAGGTGGTGCAGCTCCCCAAGTAAGCTGGGTGCAGTGGCAGAACAGGCCCAGTCAATGGCCTAATACTTCAGTTCAAGTCAAATGTTTTGAATTTCAACTTCCACTTGCCATGTGTTCCCCCTCTGCTCCTGCTATTCCTATTCACCAGCCTCCACCACATGCCCTCATCCACCACATGCTCTCTTCCTTCCCCTGCAATGTCTCACCAACCACAAACTCCCTTTCCATCCCACTTACCAAACACTCCTACTTCCATCCCACCACCCCCATTCTCCCAGTGCATATTCCCTCCCTGTCCCCACCTCACCCTGACTCATTACTAGCTCCTTCCCTGCCCCTTCATGTTCATGCATCCACAACCATAACCACCAGCCACCACTGCCTGCCACCTAGACTCAACACCCACATGCTCCCTCCTTCATCCCAGTAAGGATGAGGCAGTGGCTATGAGAAAGAGAGCCAGGAACTTCGGAGCCCTGCATTGCCCATACCAGCTCCAGTGGGGTGGTGACAGACCTGTTCAGCACACGCCTGTGCACCACTTTCAGGATGATGATCTTCTGGGTGCTTTCCTTCAGAAAGTCTGTCAGTTTGCTCTTCAGAACAGATTTGTACTCATGTTTGGTTATCACCTTCAGGCTGTCCCATGATGCTTTGCATCTTCGCTCCAGTTGAACCAGACTATCTGCAAGTTCATCAAAGTCGACCTGAAGGAGAAGCACATCAGCATCTTCCCACATCCTTCTCCAAGGTCCAGGCACTGTACAAGCAGCATGTGAGACACAGTGAGAATGCAGGGCCCCTGGCCCCTTCCCTGGGACTGTGGGGTCTGCAGCATGGTGGAGGGTCTGCAGCATCTCCAGGCCCAGGCCCTTGTCTTGTTCCCCAGGCCAGCAGGGGAAAGGGCAAAAGCAGGAAAGCCAGGACCACCTGAAATGGGTCAACTCTTGGCCAGCTCTGGCGCTCAGCTGAAACTTACTTTGGCTGATCGTGTGAGGGCTGCGATCTCCGAATAGAGGTTGGTGGTTTCTGGGAACTTCTCCACCACCATCTGGCAGAGGTGATGCAGCAAGGACTGCCTGTGCACAGTGTCCTTCACCTCAGAGACTTTCTCCAGGTAGCTCAGATCAAAGCCCTTGCTCTGAAACCAAACAGACTCAGCAGAGCATCTCCCCCAGGGAGGGCATGCCCCGAAGAAGAAGGGCAAGGGCTGAGCCCAGGTCAACCCTCTCTCCTTCCTACCAACTGGTCAGTTAGATAGGCTAGATATCAGGCTAGATATCAGTAGGCACTACTTCACAGTCAGGGCAGCTAGGATCTGGAACTAGCTTCTAAGGGAAGTGGTGCTTGCTCCTACCCTGGGGGTCTTCAAAAGGAGGCTGGATAATCACCTAGCTGGGGTCATTTGACCCCAGCTCTCTTTCCTGCCCATAGCAGGGGGTCAGACTTGATGATCTACTTAGGTTCCTTCTGACCCTACCAACTATGAAGCTGCCTCTGCCAGCAGCTTTTCTTGCTTATTGGCTTTCCAGCTTTGGCTGAGGCCTGCTTGCATGCTCAGCTTCTGTTGAGTTATAGAGGCCTAACACTGCTGAGTTGGGCCTAGCCTCAAGCTGGAGCACAGCACAACTCATGGAGACATCTGCAAAGCATGGGACATGATAACGGGAGGTCGGAGTCATGTGTTTACCACCTTGGACATCAGGGCACCCAAAGGGCAGCCTCCTACCTACTTAACATCTTAATTACTTTACAACAAGGCGTGGCAGAAAAGTAAGGTGGGTGGCTTGCCCAAAGACAGGCAGGCAGGCCAGTGCTATAATTGGTCTTAGGGAGTTTGCCCCCTGTCACCCCACAACCCTGGTGCTCCTCACTGCACAGCCCCCAGGTGTCTCTGGAAGGGCACTGGGTACAAACCCCATTACTCTGCATTAGGAATCCCCAGTAGTGCTGGAGAGCTAGCAAAGTCTTGTGGGCCATCTTCTCAGCTCTGCTGCTGCCCTGCTGGTCCTTTGCCAAGTCACTTCCTTCTCAGTGACTCCATTTCCCCTCACACCCTCCTCTATTCTGAGGGAGCTCTTTGGTGCTGAAGAACCTCCCACCATGTGTTTGTACAGCACCTAACAGAGCCTGACTAGGGCTCTCATTCACAAAACACTGGCTTCCCTTGTTTGTTCTTCCAGTTTGCATGAACCACCTTGGGCCTTCTCTAACTTCAGCAGCATCACATTGCTTCAGTGTAGCATCAGATTAACACAGCCATACTAATTAGCTCTGCTGAAGGTACTCTTTTTAGTTTCCCTTTCTAGTTTCTTTTTAGTTTCTTTCAGCGGAGCTCATTTGCTCATGTTTCAATGCCACACTGAAGCAGCTACACTAACTGGAACCAGGAGGGGTGTAGATGATCCATCAAGATCTGTGGGCTATCCAGGACTGTGTCCCAGATTCTGCTCCCTGATGGTCTCTTATCAGTATCACTTTACCTCAGCACCCTCTTCACCCAACACCTGATCAGCTGGGCACATTAATCCCAGGCCCTCCTTTCCACATGTGTCACATTAGGTCCCTGAGTGTTGTGGCAACTGCCTTACCTCCTCCAGCTAAGGGAAGTGAAAATAGATGTTGCAGACTTAACTGGGCTTTTATCTCAGGACAGAGAGCAATTTTGGTGATGATTAGGAAGATATTAGGAAGACATTTCTCACTATGAAGGTGGTTAAGCACTGGAACTGGCTACCCAGTGATGCTGTGGAAGCTCCATCCTTGAATGTTCTTAAGAATGGGTTAGACGGGCACTTAACAGGGATGGTTTAGATAGGGGTGATAATGCCTTGAACAGGAAAGTTGGACTAAATGATTTCCTGAAGTCCCTTCCAGTCTTACTAGTCTATAATTGGAGCACTCCCAGCTCCAAGTGCAGTCTCCCAAGGACCTTTTACCACCATGGTCCTACCTGGGAACCATTCAGGAAGTTGCCTGTAGCCAGCAAAGTGGCGAGGATGCACTTGAAGGTATAGTTCTTGGCCAGCTGCTCCATCCCAAGTTTCAGGTCAAACAAAGGTTCAGCAATCTCCTGGACAAGAAAACATCCATGCACTGTGACACCCTGCTCCAGTCCATACTTGACCTGGAGTGTGATGGCATTCACTCCTGATGCTGTGTGGAAACAGCAACCTCACCACAGCAAGAATGGCTCCACTTTACCTGAGAGTGAGCAAGGCTCAGAAGGGAGGGAAAGTACCCCAGCTTGGAACAGCCAATGCTGAGAGTCATGACAGAGGATGTGGATCCCTCCTGAAATTACCACAGGAAATAAACTATAGCCAAAAGAATCCCCAAGATTAGGAGATGAGACAGCCTGGACAACAGGTCCCATTTGCTATAGAACTGGGCCATTGGCGTGGAACCTGGATATGCATCTATAACCAATCCAAATAGTAATAAGATGGCTTGAGAATGAAGCAGTGTTTGTATGTACAGCTGATAATCTCTAGGCACAATTGAGACACAGAGGGAACGTGTCATAGCTGCTCTCATGGGACTAGCATTCTTGCCAACACACACACTAAGGTGATCATGGTCAGTCTGGTTTGTAGGGGAAATGGCTGGTGGGTTGGGTTTGCCTCATTACCTGCTCCATGCTTTCGTAGTCCAGTTTGAATGCCCACAGCTGGAGTCTGGCTGTGAGGTCACTGATGGAGGAGAGGGTAAGCAGAAACTGTTCAGCTGACCCGAGGGGGACTTCTGGATTGGCTAGCTGTGCCTCTTGGATCTTCTGCTTCTCCTCATCTGTTGGGACCATGGTCAGGATTTTCTATAATGTGCAAAGAGCCATATATCAGAGGCCATGCTTGGGCTTCAGTTGCCAGAGAAGCGACTCCACATAAGAACTCCATGGCTAGGACCACAGGTTTCAGTGGCAGCATTTGAGGATCCCACAGAGTGGGAAGTTCACTATGGCCATGGCTTGTTGTTGAAGAAACCACTGTCCTGCTCCCTTCACACCCTGAACTGAGCCAGCATTATTAGGACCTGGGTCCAACAAGCTTCCCAGCAGACATGTGGCTTTGACCCTCAATAGTTTGAGCTCTTTGGAAGAATGACCCCACTGGTGGGTGCACCTTGGCTTCTCCCATATATCTAGGCAGAAGTGAGAGCAAAGGCAAGCTGAGCAGTAGGAGTGGACTTGCCCTCTGCTGCTGAGGGGCTGTATGTGATGGCAGTGCTATCAAAAAGGCAACAGCAGAAGACAGCTCCTTCCAAATCAGGCTCTGAAGTGCACTCTGGGAATCACCTTCTGGTTGTCAGGTGTCCAGAGTCTCACTTGAGGGAACTCTTAGTGGTGAATAAGGGAAAGAACAAACAGCTCCTGGCAAAATTAAATCAAGTGCTAGCAAAGGAACTACCTGAGAACATAAGGAAGTTATGGAAATGCCCAACTTATCCTCACAAATCTGTGTGTGTCAAGTTGCCAAAGCCAAGCAAAAGGCAAAATGAAAACACATCAAATGCACTGGCTTTGGAGATGCAGAGGGGCAGGTCAACCTGGGGAGACGCTGTTGGCAAGTGCCCCCAGAAATACTCATGTTCTGTGAGAATGTCTCACTGGAGCCAACCCTCATCACCCCTATGCACAACTCCATGAGACAGAAACATCTAGAAGGATGTCCCCATGAGAAACCACACAGCCCTGGCCTGAAGCATCAGCTCCCATATGCTTAACAGGAGAGATGTTTCCCCACCCCGCCTCCCCAGGTCAGAAATATACCACTGGAAGGAGAAAAGGGGAAACTGAAGAGGCTCCATTAGAAGCCGTGTTGCCCATTTCCCTCAGAAATGGCAGGCTGGTAATTGGGATGGTGCATGGTGGTCAGATGCCTCCAGCAGAACCATAGCCCTACATGTTCCTGGACCATCAAGGAGAGGATTTCTGATCTTAGAGGGCTCTGTACCCCTTGTAGACAAAGGCAGAACAAGATCCAAGAGATGGAAGCTGAAGTCATTATACAACGAACAGAAAATAGCAAGTATTTAACAGTGAGGAGAATGAAACCTTGGGATTAATTTATCTGTAGGCATGGTGGTATCTCAGCTACTTGGCATCTACATCAAGACTTAGTAAATCTCTCTCTCCCCCAGGCTATGCTTTAGCTTAACCAGGAGTTACTAGGTCTGATATGAAAGCCAGAGAGTGAGTGTTTCTGGCCTGAGTCATACAGGAGGTCAGACTAGATGACTGGAGTGGTCTTCTTCTGGTCTTAACATCTCTGAAGGAACTGAGGTGATGCATTTGTGGGGCTAAAGGTCTGCAGAAGCTGGAAGCAGGTGGGGGTGCTTGTGGGGCCAAGATGCCACTTCCTCTATTTGTAGAGCAAATGTTTAAGAGATTACTGGTAGGTGGAACAACACCCTGCAGGCCTTACCTCAATTCCTTCCTTGTTAACAGCAAACTCATCAAAGTTGAGAATCGCTGTCTTAATGATATGGGCAGGCGGAAGCACCGTCAGGCCGATGTTAATGGCATTGCTCCTCTTGGGATCCAGGACTATGACGACTGTCTTTTTCGCATCAACAGCTTTCTTCATGGACAAATAGGAAACAAAGGATGTTGGTGTTGAAATGCAGGTTAGACCCTCACAGGCAACCTCAACACATGCTCAATGTCTCCTCTGAATTCTAGGAGCACCCAAAACACACATAAGGCCATGTGTGTACCCAAAGGCCAGTGCAGGAGGAGACTTCAGAGCACAGCAACTGCTCTCCACCCCACTTGCATGCACCCAGACCACTGAGCATCCACAGGCACAGATTTTCTGGTACAGAAATTTATCTTGCCATGGGCAGTCAGGATCTGCTAATTCATCTTTAACAAAGTGAAAGTGCTACCCACAGCTTCAATGGTCTTCTCTGCACTTTAGCTGTGTTGTACTTTTCAGAGAAGCCACAGAATCCACCACCCCCCTTCCCTTAACTTACATATTTGTGTGTCCACCAGCTGCACAGCTGGGGTCACAGCAGAACCTTACCTGCCCCTGCTCTTATCTTTTTCTCCTTCTTTTTTGAACAGCTTTAGTCTGTGCTCCTCCAGCACTGCCTTGGGAAGGCAGCTTAGCCTTGACTGGCAGGGATATGGCCAGAGACTGGCAAATGAGGGACTGAGGCAAATGAGGAACTGGCAAATGAGGGACTGAGCCCTCCAAGGCCTTTGGAAGAGCTTACATAAATGGAATTAATTCTACTCTCCACTCCCCCAGCAGGCTCCCAGTCACCAGCAATCCTCCAAATGCCAAACAAAACAGCCACAACAGGTGCTGCCCCATGAAGGACCTGGGGAAATGCCCTAGGCTGGACTTTGGACTCTTCCTTACTTGGACATTACCTCAGCCACAGCACTCAACACACACCCTGCTGTCCTGCCCCTGTGCTCACCTTGTGGGGCTGCCTGTCAGCTTGTCAGCCTACCTACTTACCTTGGAACTTGGCACTTCCTTGGCCCGGGACTCAAAGAGATGCTCCAGCTTGGCAGCATCAATCTCCACTCTCTGCAGGGAAGACCACACGGTGGCCTGGCCAAATTTGCCAGCCCCAGTGCAGTTATCAGGCTGCTTGAGCTCCTTCCAGAAGAGCTTCACAGTCTTCTTTTTCTTGGGTGGGGAATGGCCATTGGGTATGGAGGACCCAAGAGGTGCAGGAGGTGGTGGGGGCAGGGGGCAGCCAGGGACTGGGGGAGGAGGTGGAGGACAGCCAAGAGGAGGGGGTGGTGGTGGCAATGCCATGGGGCCTCCTTCAGCCATCAGCCCAATACCAGGAGGCAAAGGAGGAGGCGCATGTAAAGAGCCATTTTCTATTGTTGCTGTATCTAGGACATCAAAATCTTCCTCATTGCAAAGGTCTGAGAAGTCCAGGTCCTTGATCTTCAGCGCCTTGGAGCTGGTCTCCTGCCAATCCCATGTGAACTCAGAATCTTTTTTGAATGGGGTCACGAGGGCTCTCTCCAAGTTCTGAGAATTGATGTCTGCATCAATACTGGACTGGGCCTGCACCAGCCTGCCCTGGGCATCAGGGGCCTTGCTGTGGGGCCAGGCACCTGCCAGGCCCTGTGTGTCAGCATGGTTTGGCATGTCCCTGGCCTCTGCCAGGGGCAGAGATGAGGTCGGTGTTTCAGGGAAGAGCTGCTCCCTCCCTGACTCCATGCACTTTTTACCAAATGGCATGTCTAACATGAACTTCTTGTCAGAGGAGATGGTGCTGCAGGACTCGGTGCTCTCGTGCCAGGGGAGGCTGGGCCCTGCAGGGAATGGGGACGAAGTGTGATTAGAGCACTCACCCTTCTAGTGGTTTAGTGCCATGGTGCAGTCCTGAGGCACCTCCTTCTCTGAGGTGTTAGCTAAGTCCCTCAGCCCCTGCCCACCTCTGTGAACCCTGCTCTTGATCTCTTGCACAGAAGCTCTCTTCCTGCTCCCTGCCCTAGGTCACATGGCTGCATGATGCCTGTGTCTCTACAGCAGCAGATGCTGACTGCCCAGCACTAGAATAACAGCATGGAAAGGATCATGTTGAATCTGCCCTGAGACAGAAGGCAGGCCAGTCTGCTCTCCTCAGTGTGGCTGCTATCGGCCTTGGCAAGCATTCCTTTGCAGCCAAGCAGTTGTGGTACAGTGCTGAGTGTGTGAGCACAGGACAGAACAGGCAGTGCTGAGGAGCCTGACCTCCAGGGAACACTGCCAGCTGCAGCCACCATGACTGGCCCAGCCCCTGGCACCCTGCAGCCTCCCACTGGTCACCATCCCACTGCACACTAGCTTCACTGATGCCATCCGCCAGTCCTGCACACAGCTGTGTCTGGGGTGGAAAAGCAGACAGTGACTTGGCACAGAGAGCAAACACTCAAGCTATAGCATACTGGGAAGGGGGCCTTGTGAAGACACAATGCAGTTCCAGTGTGGCTGGGAGCTGGGGCTCACAGCCAAGGAACAGGGGGCCTTGATAACTGAGGCAGGGAAGTAGAAGCCTTTGGCAGTGGCTGGGCTCAGGGACAGTCCTTGCCTGATGTATTGCCCTGCTTCTCATCTCTCCCCTGTGTGCTCTTGGCTGAGCACGGCTCCATCTCATTAACCGCTTTGTTCTGCTCCTCCATTTTGCTCCTCCTTCCTGCAATACAGAGAGAGTAGAGGTTAGGAAGCCCAGGGACGTTAGGCAGAAGAAGTTTCCACACCTGCAGCCCCCATGACCCTGTCATCACATGCCCAGCCTGAGTGTACGTAATGCATACAGGGGAGTTTGCTCACAGCCCAAAACAGTCCCAGAGTTAGGGCAGTCATGTCAACAAGGGTGCAGTTTCTCCCTGCAGGGCTGCACATCCTCAGGAGCAATGCCAGACCCGAAACAGTTCTGTCAATGCAGGGGATTCCATGGTTCTGCATACAAAGGCAGGGGCCCTGTGGGCCCCACACACAGGGACTAGTGCACACAGTCACACCTGTACGTGGGAATTCTGAGCTGCTCTGCACATGCACGCTCTCAAAAGGGGTCTGGCTCTGGGAGTCGCATGGGGTGGGGAGAGAATGCAGGATCTTGCTGTCCAGGGCGTGCAGCTCTTGGGGGATACTGATAAGAGACCATCATTCCATCGCTGTAGTGCAGAGGTGTTCTCAGGATCACAGCCCTACTGGATACATATGTGTAAACACATAAAAGCCTTGCCACTAAACTCTTCTGACTCTAGACAGGAGAGAGTCGAGTATGATTCTGTGGACTCAGAGATGTGTCCTGAAGGCTCTGGTCAGCTGGGTATTGATTAGAGATAAGGGAAGAACTGGAAATGACTGAACAGCTGAAGAGGAAAGCAGCTGCCTCCCTGGTGACCCAGCATGCCTCCACCCTGAGGGATGACTCTCCAGCTGATGCACGCTGCCCCTCTTGAGAGGTGCTTTTGGGCTCAGGCATACATGAGAGCTGTGTACCTGTAGCAGTCAGCTCTGTGTCAGGCTCACAGACACTGCCATCTCTTCCAGGTGGAAACACGGTTGCAGTGTGCCCGAGAGCAACCTCAGTGAAGATGTCAATCTGCCCCTTGGCCATGGCTGAAATCTTCTCCTTTTGGGATGCAGCGAGGTTTTCCAGGAAGCGAGTTCTGCAAAAGGAGCCAGATATCAGCAAATGGCAGCATGTGGGGCAAGACATGGACCCATGGACTCTAGAGCAGCAACTACATCCTGGAAGAGCAGGCACTACTTTACAAGGAAACACCTTTTGCACAGGGCAGGACATTCAGCACGGCCCCGGAGCCAGACCTGGACATGCTCATATCTCAGGTCCCTGCAACCATCTAGTTCTCAAGCCAGTGCTCCCCTCAACACCACCCCAATGGGCAGCCAAGTTACCAGCCTTCTCCTTCCTCTTCCTGTCAGATGGTGCTACTGGACCTCAGAGATATTTCACACAAGGAAGCCCTGTGTCCTCAGCTAGTGCTTCACCTGCTTTATCTTTGAGTAACAGGGCGCCAGCCAGGTCCATTGTACAGGGAACAAGTCAACACCCTTGCCCTGGGAACACTCCATAACCAGCCAGCTGTTGTTATGGAAGCAACCACTAAAGGAGTAGAGGGATCACTGCAGCTTCAGCACTTGGGTTGCCAAGTTCAAGGTTGTATATCAAAGTGGGCTGCACAATACCTATTTCCCTCCCTAAATGATGGCTCTTCTCCCCTAGCCCCATTAGATTAGGAAAGATGTGGTTACCTGTAAACCCATTTACTAGGGGAGACTGCATGGATGGGTCCTCATTTTTCTGGGCTTCACACCAATTTGTTTTCACTCTTGACATTTTAGACGCATGAGAATCTAATAATATCTCATGCAACCACAAACCAGAAACAATTAAGAGTCAGTGACAATCACAGGTCCTGGGAATTTTCACAGAACTAATTATCATTGTGGACCATTTTAGCAAAACATGCGCTGATTCACGTCTCCCTCTCTCTCAGTGACTTCCCGCTACAAAGCATCTGACCCTCCTTTGTCTAGAAACCAATGCCTCCAGCTCCCCTAGTGGCTGCTCTACTGGTGCTCTGTGCTATGAGTCAAACATCAGCGGACCTTGAGTGATGGGAAAAGGAGAAGAGGCTGGAAAAATAATCAGTACTCCTATCACACATAAGCCTAAGGGGCCTGTCTGACTCATCATCGGGGATCCATTTTTTATGTTTTCCATGGAAAAATGGGTAAAAGTGTGGATTTTCCCTTCTAACTGAGAAAAACACGGATTTCTCATTTTAGCAGAGAAACACGCAGATTTTCCACTTTTGCAAAGAGCTCTCTGCCAGCTGGCAGAGTTCCAACCTGCAAGGGGGTGGGGGATTGAGAGGAGGGCAGTTAGGCAGGGGGTGCCATGTGCATGCACATGCACATGAGTGCCAGGCAGCCTGGAGAGTGGGTCCTCCAGGTAAGTGGTGGGGGGGAGGGGAATTGAGGCCCCCATAGGGAAGGAGAGAGCACTGGCGATGCATAGGGGGTGCACGCAGGTGCACATGCACCCCCTGAGCTTGGCAGTGCGCCCCTGCAAAAAGGCACCACCAACATTGTCAGCAGTGCCTGTGGGTGGTCGTCGCTTGCCATCCCCCACCCCCAACAGCGCTGCGGCCACCTGAAGGAGCTCACCACTTGCCACCACCATGCTCCCACTGCTGACAGCGCCACCACCACCTGCAGGAGCTCGCCATGCCCCCCCAGCCTCCAGGGGCATGAAGCATTCATGGGAGGGAGGGAGTTGGGGAGGGCTGGGGCTGCTGCCCAGCTGGGGCATGTGTGGGGTTTGGGGCCCACGGCCAAAATGCACAGCTGCAGGGCCCTGGTGGGAAGTGGGATGGGGCTATGGGCGGCTAGTCTGGGGGGCAGAGTTGGGTGTGGGCTGCCTGCTGCAGGCTTGGGCTCCCCGCTCTGCTGCCCTCCCATGGGGCCTCTGTGGCCTGATGGGTAGGGCCCAGTGCAGCAGGACACAGCAGAGGCCGGCTGGGGAAGCTCCTTGACGCTGCACGCTTTGTGTTGCCCTGGCAAGGTGCCCCCTGCCTGCCTGGCAGCAGCAGGGGTGGTGGTATGGAGTTGTGCCCCTCATTGCTGGCAGACGGGCAGGGAGCGGGTGCCTTGCCAGGGTGGTGTGGGGCTTGCAGCAGCAGCAATGAATTTCCCTGCTCTGCCCTGCTGTGCTGGGTACTGCCTGCTGGGCCACGAAGGCCCCCAGGGGAGGGCATCAGGGCAAGCAGCCCTGAGCCTACAGCGGGTAATCTGCACCTGCCACCCCCATGCGCGAAGGGGAGCCGGGCTCCACTCCCCACTCAGGCCACAGTTGCCACCACCTCCCATGGGTGGCAGCCGGAGCTTGGGTGCTGCTGTGGCAGGCAGGGGGCTGCAGACCTGGGTCCCTGGTCCCATAGCCCTGGCAGCTGAGTGCCCCCTCCAGCAGGGCTGGGGAGGGGGTGCAGGCTGTGGATGGAGGCCCAGGGGCATCAGCAGGGCTGGGGGATTGTGGTTAGGGAGTGAAGGGTGCCAGCAGGGCTCAGGGGGAGCTCTGATTTTCCATGATAAAAAACCCAAAATCAAATACCAAAATTTATAGGTATTTAGAATGTATTTTATTATAATGATTGAGGCACTGGTAGTCTTCCAAATGGCTTTAAACTTGCAAATAGATCAATAAAACATTTGTTCAACAGATACATATCTATATCTATATATATATATATAGTGACATTTCATTTTAATCATGGATTTTGGATGTTTTATCAGAGAATTTGTGAGGCTTATCAGAGAACACCAGGATTCCTGCTCATCATCCAATACAGAACACTGTAGCCCAGCAACTCTCTGCTGGTGAAAGGAAGTCAGCACCAGCAGAGAAGCTGGCACCACTACCGGGCTTCAGGATTTGGGAACCCTGCAGCACAGTCTGGGCCCCACTTATGAAGGAGGTGTATAACTTCACTCATGGGTTCACTCACGGGTTTAGCTTCACTCACAGGTTATCAGTGGGATGGTTTCTTTTCACTGCACAAAATCCAAGAACTCAGCCCTCACAACAACCTCCAACAGAGACAAGTTCTCCACAGTGCAAGATGACAGCACTTGGGGGAAGCTTTTTCCTGTGCAGATGCCCTGCCTCTCTGCATCTTACAGTCCAATGAATGGACAAAGAGACAATGCGCTGCTGCCCATGGTGTGTGTTCCAGGACAGAAAGCCATTTGCTCTAGCTCAAGCTGATGTACACTGGGAGTACTGAACATTAAAATCTGCCAGCTTTCACTAGCCTAGATTACAAGCCAGAAGCTTGTAATGAGGCCAGCCTCTCTGACCACTGGAATGCTCCAAACCTGCTACATCAGAGTACCCTGCCTGCTCCCAGCACCCATCCCCACCACCTTCCTAGCTCAGCAGCAGTCCTCACACCAGTCACTGGGGCTACTCCAGATAAGGACAGGATCCTGGCCTCAAGGTACTACTCTTTTCTTTCATAGCAAAGGCTCTAGCAATGGCTTCCAGAGCGGGAGGGGGAAGAGCAGACCCCGTGAAGCCCCCCTGCCTCAAACAGAGATGCGTATTTTAAGCTCAGGGTTCCAAGGCAAATCGCTGAAGGGTGAAATGTAAGCCTTGGCCCCCAGGGAGTATGAGTACCTTTATCAGGGCCCAGGCCTACTGTCTCCTGCTCCCCTCTAAAGCAAGCAGAAATCAATTAAGGAAACCAGCCTTCCACCTCTCTGGCCCTGAGCCCTGCTGTGTCATTCCTCAAGACATAGACACTGCTACCCATCACATCACCAGGGTCATCACTGCTGCTCAGTATGGCACGCACCAGAATAGCTGTGAGCACCGGCAGGGGGTGAGACACATGGGAGCAAGCCAGTAAGTCCCAGATTCCATTACAGCTTTTACTTTCCAATGCAGAGAGGCCCTACATGGAGCCCAGCATGGACTGGCACCAAAGGGTCCCTTGGAGTTCTGGCTCTGCCCAGGCTTAGCGCCCACTGGACAAGGTGCACATCTGGAGCCAGGCACACATCTGTACTTACTCAAACTTCCTCAGAATGGGCTTGTCCCCATGCAAAGGGGGGTTCTCCTCTTGCCTGAGAGAAAAGATGAGTCAGCACCGGCTTCCCTCAGTGCCCCACCGCTCATGCTTTCTGCATGCTGTCACACTGCAGCCACCTCAGCTCCTAGCCTCAGGACTCTGTGTCTGGACAGTGCCCAGGGATTCACATTACATAGCATAGCACCTGCCACTACTTCTGTATTCCTCTGCCACTTCTCCTCCCAACCACTGCCAGCCCTGGTCCCTGGTCACAGTGCTGCAAAACAGGCTGTCTAAAGCGATTACTTGTCACTGCTGGTCTACAGCATCTCCCCTATGAGCCTCAATACTCACACCTCTATCTCTCTGCAGAGCTCAGTAGCCAGCATGACCAGGCAGGGAGGGTCAGAGCAGCGGAAGGACTCCCAGCGCACAGGGGCACAAGCACACGCCAAGGCGGGCCTACTCGCAGGGCTAGACATCTGGGATTTCAGGCATTACCAACCCCAGCTGACTGGCCACTGCACTGGGACCAGCCCCTCTGCTAAGATCACCCCTTACACACTAGCACAGGTGTTGTCAACCAGGAGTGCGCGTAACCGTGGGGGTACTTGGGAAGGCCCCATGGGGGTATGTGGCAGCAGTACAGAGAAGTGGTGACACTTCCGGTTTTGCCACTGGTGCTTCTGGTTTTGATCTCCCCCTTCTCCCCTACTTGTCAATTGACTGGGGGACTCCCTGCTTTTCGACCGGGGTACACCAAACAAAAAAGGCTGAAAACCCCTGCACTAGCACAAACCAAGTTAGAAAAACCCCAGTCAGGAGGCTGCTCCAGCTGACCAAAAGCCCAGGCCATAGAAGTGAGATCCAGCAACAACCAGACAGGCTGCTGCCTTTTACTCAGAGATCCCCAGTGCCATGTAGAAGCCAGACAGCCCAGACCTGGGTGATCTCCCCCTGCTGCTGTGCTCTCCTTCCCATCTTGGCCAGGTACCCTCAGTGGCTGACACAATCTTTGCTGGATAACCATACAAGTGCTCTGATCCTCTCAGCAGCTGCACGGTCAGGCAGTTTTAAAAGCAGTTGGGGGATCTGTAGGGTTGTGGTGCGGGTCCCAGGGCAGTGAATGGAGCTCCTTCCACTCTTCATTCCTTTGCGAGGGATGACCGCCAACCTTTCAAGTTTCTGATGAGTGCCCAAGCAAGGCAGCCAGCTTGGAAGGTAGGTGCCTGCACCTGCTCTACACATTGGCCTGCCCTGGTGCTGGGTTTTGCTAGGTTCCAATAGATGGGTACCCCAAACAGAAGTGCAGGAAGTCAGATGGGCTCTGTAGTGCTTGGAATCCCCACAGAGAGGACAGGAAGAGGATAGGAAGCCAGCATACCAAGCCTTGTACAAATGAGCAGAAGTGTTTCCTGTGTAACCTTCGTGGGGTCAATTGTACCCAGGACAAGACAAGCCCATAGATTAAGGACCCTGGCTGTTGTCCCACAACATATGTCACACCCAACAGCTTCAGAGGTTGGTCCATCTGCAGGATGTGGCCTAGGTCACTGAGTGAAATGTGAGTTATGGCCTGATGAAGGGGAGCCAGGCAGGGCTAGGCACATTCTTGGAGGAGGGAACTGTGCAGCCATCACTCAGAGAGCAGACCCAGGCCTGGACCCAGCTGCTTCAGGGGTCCAAACACACTTCAAAGAAACTAGTGCAGTGCACACCCAACAGCCCAGCACAGAGAGGGGGGAGGCCTCTTCACCACAGCAGCCCGTTGGGCAGAGGGAGAAAACCACTGGAACAGCAGATAGGCACAGCATGCTAGAAAAGTGTCACACACATATACATTACATGTGTGGACGCATGCACGCACACACACACACACGCAGAGCCCATGTCACTTACCAAATAGGGGTAGTATGGTGCAGTCTGCAAAAGGAAAGAGAGTTTAGGCAGAAGAGAATCAGTGCTGAGAAAAGAAGCAAAGAGGGCAGAGGTGGAGCTTTGAAACACTGCCCACTGCTTGCCAAGGGCACATCTAGGGGCTAAGGCTCTGGCAGAAGAGGAGGAGGAGGCTTTTCAGGAAAGCACGCAAGCCATTTCCCTAAGGTGTGGGTTAGGACCCCCACAGTATGCTGAAGCCCCTCCTCCATCCCCCCATGTGCCCCTCCACAGTCACCCAGCCTCTATCCAACCACTGGCAACAGAGACTAGAGGCCAACAGGCAGGAAGCCTCCAGGGCCTGCTCTCTTCTTTGGGTACTTGGATACTGCTGTCCCCAGAGCAAGGCTCCAGCTTAGCACATCTGACTGTGAGCAGCATAAGCTGGGTATCACACACAAGACTGCCCATTCTCCCTACCTGCAGTTCTACTTCCACACACAACAGCTTCCCCCATGCCCTTTCAAACACTTGGGCCACTCCAACTCATGCCTTGCATGCCCCAGTATCTCTGAGTCCTGGCTCCCAGAACTCTTGGGCCCCTTCTGGATCCTTCATTTTTCCCCCACAAAATACCATTCCTGGGCAGGCACTATGCCTAGGGTGGCTTATCCACACATGTCTCAGTATCCAGCTGCTTCCTAGAGGTCATCACTGTTGAGTGTGCAGTGAAAGCCATGCTCCCAAAGCAGCAGAGCTTGAGGATAAACCCTACCCTGTCGTCCCTCAGGAATAGCTCAGGCTGAGCAGTGCAAGTGATCTATCACATAATATGCCAGCAGAACCCAAAGCTTGGGGATAGTCCAAGCTCAGGCCATTGGGCATCTCTGTCAGGAGGCCTGCTTATCCTTGGTCTCTGTGGTCTTGAGAAGGCCCCAGAGTCACACTTCCAACATGTAGTCTCCACAGGAACAGCTCCCAGCTAGCCAGAAAAGACAGGTCCTTGGGCCCAGGGTCTCTCATGCAAGAAGAGCCAGGCCAAGAAACAAACTTTGGGGAGTGACAACTGGTTAAGCACACCAAGGCAACTCTGACTTACTTGTAAATGCTCCTCTCCCCAACGATGCTGGGTTGCTCCCTCTCCCCTGCCACAGCTGGCACAGAGAGCTGCACATTAGAGGCACTGTTGTAAACACTCTGAAAGCATGGCCTGAAAAAGAAGTGATGCAGGGTGAGAATGCATCTCCTCTAGCCTGTGAACAGGCTACTCTCCACACCTCTGCAGCTCACAGGCCAGTGAGGTACAAGCACAGTCTTGCAAAAGTTATGACAAGCTCTGGCTCCAATACGTTTATGGGCAGGTAAATCAAATATGTACACCTTTGGCAGGCGAGTGTCATGCACCACAGAAGCTAGGATTTGCTGCAGAAGTGCAAGCATGCCCAGTTGGGCTTTCAGCCCTGGCAGGAAGCCTGGGGCCAATGAAACCCTGAGGAATATGATGCAAACTGATGGCACACAGGCTTCTACCTGGCCAGGAACCAACCACAGCCACTGGACTGAGCTGGGTTTCAGCCTACCCTGTACTCTGCAGAAACCCCACTCCCCACACATAATCAGTAGGGCTGCGCAAAATTTTGATGGGTGTTTTGTTTCAAAGCTGTTTTGACATGTTTTGAGCTCAAAACAGCAAAATCGAAATGAAACAAATGGCTTTGAAACAGCTTCGAAACAAAATGAGGGCACTCAAAACATTTCAAAAGTTTTGAAACTTTTTGAGTTTTGAAGCAGCCCAGCGGTGGGAGGCGAGGCAGAGCCAGAGCTGTACTCCAAGCAGCTCCTCCAGCCCCACGGAGCTCAGCCTGGTGGTGGGAGGTGGTAGGAGAGCCAGTGGCAGAGCCGCTCCGAGCGCAGCCCTGGTGAGCACAGCCCGGTGGTGGGAGGCTCTGCAGCCCCATGGAGTTGAGCCTGGTGGTGGGAGGCGGTGGAGAACCAGTGACAGCTGCTTGGAGCACAACCCTGGCCAGTGGATCTCCGCTACCTCCCACTGCCAGGCTCAGCTCTGTGGAGCTGCAGAGCCTCCCACTGCCAGACTGTGCTCACCAGGGCTGGGCTCCGAGCAGCTCTGCCACTGGCTCTTCCGCCGCCTCCTGCTGCCAGGCTGAGCTTCAAGCGGAGCTGCTTGGAGCACAGCCTTGTGAATCCTGGTGAGCACAGCCCAGTGGCTGGAGGCTCCACAGACCCATGGAGGTGAGCCTAGCTGGGGGAGGCAGCGGGAGGTGGTGGAGGACCAGTGGCAGGGCCACTTGGGGCACAGCCCTGGCTCCGAGCACAGCCTGGCCAGTGGCTCTCAGCCCAGCGACAGAAGGCAGGGAGAGCTACGGCTATGCTCTGAGTGGCTCTGCGAGTCCCATGGAGCTCAATCTGCCCTCCCAGCACTGCCATTGAGTGCTGGGAAGAGCCCGGTGCCACCCCTGCTGCAGCCCCGAGAGTGGCAGATGCTGTCTGCCTGCAGCTGCTGGGTTGCATTGTGCCCCAAACCCCCGACGCGACACAGCCCAGCAGCTGCAGGCAGGTGGCATCCGTCATTCTCCGGGCTGCAGCAGGGGCAGCATTGGGCTCTCCCTGGCACTTGAGGCAGGCCATAGCAATAGAAAGGGGATTACTGCCACCTCAAGATTCACTGCAGCCCCCCCACCTGCCTTTTCAGTGCTGCCACTGAGCCCAGACCTCTTTGGGGGTGCGGGCCCTCAGCTCTGCACACGGGATGACAGGAGCTTGCCGCTGCTGCCTGGGGCCAGCAGCAACTGCAGTCTTCCCGGTGCTAGGCACGGGCAGTGCCCAGCACCGGTCCCAGGTGGCAGCGGCAGCCTCCTGTGATCCCGTGTACAGATCCAGGGGCCCGCACCCCCAGGAGGAGTCTGGCATAGCCCCGCAGCCCTCTTGGGGGTGCAGGCCTCCAGATCTGCACAAGGGATGACAGTTTTGCTTTCAACGTTTGAGGTGCAGGTTCACAAAACCCCTGCACCTATCTCCTTGAAGCTTGGCAGGCTTTATGCCCTCAGAAGAGGCTACCATCTCTGCAATTTTCATCTGAATCAGGCTACAAGTGACAAAGTTATAGGCATTTTCATGATTCCCCATTATAGCCTATGGGCGAAATGTTGAAATGTGTTGAAATAGCAAAACAGTTTCAACAAAACAAAATTAAATGATGAAACGAAACACTGTCCCTTCAAAACAGCAAAACAGAAGTTGAAACAAAATGGTGCAGTTTTGCACAGCCCTAAATTTTTAGTCTTGTACCAGATACACAGCTCCCACCCAAAAGACCTCTGTACACCACAGCGTCATACAGACACTGGCCTGGTCCGAGGTACCACCTCATGTGCCTGATTCACAGGTACCTACAAATAGATTCCCTCCTCCCTCCCCTGCAGAACATGCTGTACTTACTGTGCTGGGCTGCTTTCAGTAACAACCTCTACAGGGGGTGAGGGTGCTGGGGGATGAAGGTCTTTGGCAGGGGATTCTATCAAGGTGCTGGAGTTCTCAGCCAGACGGTTGCTTTCCTGGACTGGGCTTGGGGAGCTGGCAGTGAAACTGACATCTATACCACCCCCTAAGGAGCGCCAGCCCCGCCGGCCCTCATCTGTTTTCCTTCGTTCCTTGCGTGCTCCCAATGGCGACTCCTCAACCCCATCTTCATATCTGAGTGCACTCTGTGGAGAACACAGGTGAGGATGGGACATGGGCAGTGTGTGCTCTTGCAGAAGCAAAGAAGCCCCCAAATACTGTGTGTTCCCTCTGCTATGTTCCAACACTCTTCACATGTTCACATGCACTGCCACCATACTGGCTGCCAGCTCAGACCCTGCCTCATCATCCGCAGGGATCCGGGCTTCCCATTTCCCACAGAAAAACAGGAAAAAACCATATATTTCCCTATTTTATCAGAGAAAAAATGGATTTTTCCTTGTAGCAGAGATACTTGTGGATTTCCCCTGTTTGCAAAGAGCTCTGCAGGAGGGCAGAGTTTCAGCCTGCAAGAGCTGATTGATACAAGGGCAGGAAACCCCAACCCTGCCTGAAGGGGGAGGGAGAAGGGGAAGGCCAGGGCCTGAGGCTCTCAGTCACCCAAGGCCCAGCTTGGGCTCATTGTTCGTTCCTGGAGCCTGAGAGGCAAGTGGGACTTGCGGCTTGCAGGGCAGGACTGGCGGGGAAGGTGGCTGGGGACTGAGGGAATGGGGAGGTGTTGGGGGAAGACATGGAGTCCCCGCTGGCATGGATCCAGAGCAGTGCGGTATCCAGAGCAGCGTGAGCAGGGCTGGGGGGTTGAGAGAGAGCCTGGGGCACCAGCAGGGCCGGGGGGCTGTGGGGAGCCTTTAATTTTAATCCCAGATTTGGGGGGTTTTATCAGAGAATTTGTGATTTTTTTAATCAGAGAATTTGCAATTTTTTATCAGGGAAAACCAGGATCCCTGCTCATCGGCCTGCAACGTACATTCCAACAGTACAGAGCCTAAGGTTCCACCTAAACCCCAGAATAGTTTTCCAGACTTTCTGGCTGTGGAAATAACATTCGAGCTTCAACCAACATCAACCTAATTTCTGGAGGGACAAGCCATACAGCACATGCATATTCATGTCACTTACAAGTTTTTATGCACCGATGTGAGTTACCCCAGCATCTGGAGCAGATAGGCAACCAATTATACAGGGGCAGCAGTTACAGTAAGTGTTATTACCACACCTTCCCACTAGGTGGCAGGGAAGCCAGTAATACCATATGCAGGATTGGCAGAATTCAATTTTTATTTTTTTATAAAGTTAACAGCTAAAAGTGATGTTTATTTTTAAGCATTTCTATCAATTTTTATCAAATTAAATTTTCAGGATTGTGGGAAATTAGGGATGTGGGGGGCAGATAATTTAATGACAGTATACTGTTAAAAGCTTTATAAAATCACGTTAAAATATCACAAGTAAATATTCATAAATCAATAAAGCATACCTGATCAACTAGGAGTCGGGCTGGGCTTGGTGGTAGTTTGACCCCTGCCTTGATCATGCAGGGGCCAGGCGCAGTGGGAATTTTGTGCCTGATCCAGTGGCGGCCGGGCTTTCGGCTGCCAACAGCCCTGCCCCTCCAACCCTGCTTCCAAGCACAGCTCTCCCAACAAAGCCCCCAGTTCCCACAGTGGCTGCTCAAGCTGCTGCCAGAGGAGCAGTGTGCAGGTGGTACAGCCAGGGCTCCCCCTACCCCACCAGCATTGGCCCACTGCGCGTGCGCGCGCGTGCATGCACGCAGCACCCCTTGCCCTGGATTTTCTTACTCATCCTGGATTTTATTTTTAATGTCCCCCTTCTATAAATTTCGATTATTATTTCCATTGGTCTGCAAGTGTCAAGTGAAATTGCTATTTATCGACATTTACCAATAAAAATAGAGTCCTGCCAAGCCTAAGCATCTGTTAAGTGAAGGGATGCTCTGGGACAGAAGTAGACAAGCAACAAGGACTCCAGTTTAATTAGACTTGGCAGAATTCAATAGTTTTTATACTTTCGATGGACAATATTGATGTTTAATTTTCATTTATTTCAATTTTCACGACCGCATGAAATTAGAGGTGTGGGGGCAGACAAGCTCCCTCATCAGCTTTGTCAGTTCCTCTTCTGTTGTTTCCAGTCCCCTGGGGTTTCTGGGAGTTGCAGTCCAAACAACAGTCAGCACAGTTCTGTAGGACTGCTCCCCCTGTCATCACACACTCCATCAGTCATCATTTTTTTATGTCCCTTTCTATAAATTTTGATTATTAATGGTGGAAATATTTTTTGGTGGTTTGTGAATGTGAGGCGAGAGCGATGTTTATCAACATTTACTGATAAAAAAACAAATCCTGACAAGCCTCAGGATAATTGACAGCAGTGCAGTTTGACCCTTGATTTTTCCTGGGGTCACTTTATCTGATTCAAGTCGGTTACAACAATGTACGGCTGTATGTTGTATATCCTTTGCTGCTTTGTTTATCCCAGTGTAAGGCAGGTTACACCACTGTACACACTGTGCATCCAGGCCTGGAGTTAGCCAACACCTCCATGATGTGAATTCACTCAGCCTTCCCCAGCCTCCCCTGCATGAGCGTATGAGTGTCTAGGATGCCCCTTGTCATTTCATCATTCACTCTTTCACTGTTGATCATCATTCTAAACAGATGGAATGGAGGTGAGATGACAAAGACCAGGGAAGAGAAACAGATACAAAGACAGTGAAGGGAAAGTGGCAGAGGAGGAAGGAGGACAAGGAAGGGAAGTGGTGCCACAGGGAGAGCATTTCCCATTGGAGAGGTATTCAGTGAGATGAGACAAGGCTGAGACTGACAAAAAATACTGCTACTGTGTTCCCATGGAGAAGGGCTAGGATCTCAGGATGTAGGACACTTGTCAAGCAAGAGGCATCCAAGGTGCTGTCAACAACATTACTGTATGTACCCACAATGCCAGTGCTTACTGGGAGGGAATGGGATTTCTGCCAGGTTCCTCCAGGGCCGGACTGCATGGGTCCTCTCTATGCAATCTCAGTATGTGGGGGGCACATTTTCAGTTCAGTGAGGCTGAAGTGTTTGGGTGTCAGCCCAAGAGGCAGTTATGCTCAGGCCAATGCCCTCCTCTGACTCCTGAGGGCACCTCATTGGTAGGTGGAACATTATGCTAGGGGTGTCCACCCTGTTCCCAGAATTGCCAGTATAAGCGGATGGGACTCTCAAGTGTGGGGTCTTTCCCTTCATAGCATCAAGAACAACAGCACTCTTAGGAACAGCACATGATGGGGGTTGGGCCCTGCACTGCAAGAAGCAACACCACTTACTTCATAGATTGCAAACTGCTGCTTCAAGTCAGGATCGGTGCCTTTGCTGTTCATGTGCTGCTGCATGATGCTCTCCATTCCCTGTTGCTCCAGACAGTCCGTCACATCATAGAATGAGTCCTGGTCTGGGAGAGCCACCAGTGTCTGAGAAACACCAAGGCAACACAGTTGGGACCGGGCCATCAATGGGCACTGCAGCCAGCCAAGCAGCCTCTGTGGCTACAAGGCCTTTTCAGATTGTGGGGAGAGGCTGCTCCCAGGCTGTGAAAAAACTGAGGCCCAGACATCTGCGCTTTGCTTCTGGAGGAGTCGAGGGAAATCAGACCCCATGAAGGGGCTAGTGGGGTGGCACAGCATAGGTCAGTCTAAGGCCACCCCTACCCTTGTCATACTGACCTTGTTAATGAGCATGATGGTGAACAGCAGCAGCTCTGTGTCAGCCCCATTGCGCTGCTCTAGGATTGCCATCAGGTTTGACCATGGATTTGCACCTAGGAGACAGCAACACATACATGGCAGACAACCCTATGTACGGGGCAGGCCTTTCCTCCCAGCACCAGCTCCCACACACCTCCCCAGGATCCTTCAGGGTGGCACTGAGCCACATGGTACCACCTCTGTAGTTACTCAGCCTGGATGAAGAGGCCAATGTTGGGGGGCAGAAGTGGCAAAAGTTGCAGGGCATGCACCACATGTGGACAGGGAGGTTTAGTGGTCCAGGACTGCAGCCTGCAGGGGGCTATGAAAAGGGATTCCATGTCTCAGCATCCACCAAGGGGCTCTGTCCCAGGCACAACATCCTGCAGTGCCATCAATCAGGTGGCAAGGAGCAGCCAGGCACACACAGTGCAGAGTGCCTGGGAGCTTGGCCACATTTGTCCTGTGGCTGGGAAGGTCTCCTGCTCCAGCCAGCTTCCTCATTGGAACCTGTCCTCCCTGGGTCCTCAATGCTGAGCAGCCAGAGTGTCCCTGGGGGATGGCGGGGCCTGTACTGCTCGGCCTGTTCCGTGCAGCAATCACAGACCTGCTTTGGGCAGCTCCTCTGAGGGCACTGCTCCTGGACCCCACAGGGTTCAAGCAGCCGCTACTACCATGGGACTCCATTCCTTGCACTGCACTTCAACTGCCAGGGCTTTCCAGTTCAGCGCTGGGCATAAGTAAATGTAGTGAGGCCAAAGGAGATGACAGCAGAAACGCTTGCTCTCTCAGGAATCCTGCTGTGTGAGGTCTTGCTGGTTGCTTGGCCTTCCTGCAGCCCATGCAACACTAGTTGCCACCACAAACGTTCCATTTCCTCCATGCCTGGCCAAGAGGAAAAGGTTTGTCTCTCTGACATGGGCCCTGGCTCAGCTCCTGTCCTGTCACCATACATAGACCATGCCATGGTGGGGTACGCCGCATGGAGTTGGCCAGAGGTAAGGCAACTAGTGTAAGGCTAAGAGTGCATATGGCATGCTCTCGAGAACAGCGTTTATTAACCTATGGGTTGCAATCCAAAAGTGGGTTGCAAGAATATATGAAAGGGCCACAAACAAAATTTAAGAGGGCACTCAAATCAGGTTTATCTCTTTCCTGCCTGTGCCTATGCTTTCATTCATACAGTTTTAATTCTTAGATGGTGGAAAGAAGGATCTCTCCCTGCCTCAACAAGCTTTAGATACCACTAATGTCCTGACCTGCTGGGACTGCCAAGCACAGGGTGCACTGCCTGGCACATCCTTGAGATGGAGCATCAGGCTCATGCAGTGAGTAGTGCTCAGAGAGCAACACCAAGCCCCAGGAGCAGCAACCCTGTACCCTGTGACTCCTGGGACAATGAGTCTGTTAGTGCTAGAGAGCATTTGGCAGTGCCTTCTCCTACCTGGGACATCACCCACAGCCTGCTGCATCCCTGTCTCTCCCCAATATGATACCTCAGCCCATTCCCCTGAAGGATGGCCATGCTCTTTGGTGACCATGATGGCGCCCACAAAATGCTGGTGCAAGGCTCTCTGAGAGCTGGGCACTAACAGCATCACCAGTACAAATACATGTCTGGAAAAATGGCCCCCCCTTGAAGTTAGAGGCTGCTCTGTGCCCATGGAGGCATGAAGGGACAGAACTAGACCAACACTTCCCTTCTCAGATCAAGAAGGCCCCTGACACCCCATAGCTTAGTAGTCAAGGAGGGGGTCCCAGGACTAAGGCTGCTCTCCACTGGACTGACACAGAAGGGAGCTGAAGGAAGAGGGGAAAGGGGGCACACAGGGAACAAACAGTTAGTGCCTGAGCCATGGCATGCCTGCTGTGACTATAATGCTGGCTGAAACTGCCCAGCCAGCATTAGCCTGGCACTACAAGACTTATCCACAAGCTGTCCAAGTGATGCAGTCCTGAGTGCAGGGGAATGAGGAGCAGGTTCTGATTACCAGCAATGCCCTGTTCCCTTTTCCACCTCCAAGTTGAGGCTATGGCACCTCCCACACTATTTTTCCCCCCACCCCCATACTGACAGGGGTAACCCCAAGGGCAGGAGAAGGGTCAGGACTGCTTCTGCCTCTCAGTGAAACATGAACATATACACTGGTACCATACCCGTGTGCCTTCCAGAATAGACCCACAAGGGTTATTAGAGACCCTCTAAGGGGCCCAGCAAGAGGCCTCCACACAGGTTTTAATTCCAGGCATGTAGACTGCAGGAAGTGAGAGAAAACAGGCACTTCCAGCATGGCAGGCCCCATCTGCTTCTGCTCCAGGTCCAGATGGGGTGTGTAGACACCATTCTCACCTCTCTTCTGGTCCACCATGTTGATAGCCTCTATGAGAAGCTGGGCGTTGGACTCCGTGTACTCCACAAACACAAGCAGCAGCTTCAGTGCTGTCTTCACCACCAGGCGGTACTGGGGAGATAGGGGGACATACTCTGCTGAGGTCAGAAGTTTAATGAGCTGGAAAAAGGCTCCACACTTGCCCTACAAGTCCAGAGCCTATCGGAGAGTGAAGTCACTGCAGCCACCCTTGCCCTTATCATGGAGAGGAGGCTGCAGGGCTCCCTGTGTCATAGAAGCCACTCCTGGTCCAAAGCTGGGCAGCAGCAGGCTCCAGTAAGACACCAGTGAGCTGCTGTGTCTCCAGAAGGACAATGCTGCCTGCTCCAGAGGCTAGTGTACAGAGCCTGCTCTTGTCCATCTTGCCCTCTGCTCTTCTCTGCCAGGCACTGGATGGCACATGTAGCCTGGGGACAGTGGCCCTACAGGCATATAAATATACTACACCATTACACGTGGCCTGAGGACAGAGCATTGAGTAGACAGCCCTCAATGACTGTGCAGAGCCTAGTTGGAAGGGAAGCAAAGCACAGGTCTTGTGTTGGGACAGGTACCCAGCTAGGGAGGGTACATGACAAGGTGCTCAGCTGAGGCACTGTCCCAGTGCACTCCCTAAGGAGGCTGTGGTGGAAGGGTAAGTGGAAGGCCAAAGCCAGGCTCCCCAGAACAGTGACAGGCAGCATGTGCCCAGGAGCAGTAGCTAATCCTTTTGCGAAGCAGGGGTGCATAGCTGGGGGAACTTACCAGGCTCCCAGTCAGCGTGTAGAGCCATTGCACTGTCTCATTGTGATCAATCACCCCCTGCATCCCATCCACAAAGAGCATGATCTGACTCAGTGCTGGAAGAAAAAGCACAGTTAGAGTCATGGCACTTCGTGGCTCAGTAGGAGGAAATGTGTTTCTCTTCCTGCCCCAGCCTGGCTCCATGATCACAGTTTCCTCATGCATGAGGGCCTGGCTAGGAGCTGCTGCCACTGGGGGCTGTGGGTCTCTCCCCCTCCCACTGCCTCCAATTCCAGACATGACCCCATGGCATTGGGCAGAGGGCTGCTCCGGTTACCAACCTCGCAGGATGTAGTTCTGGTAATTCTGGTCAGCCTGTGCCCCCACTTTGATCAGGCACGTCAACCCCTCTAGGTTCACAAACTCCGGCACCAGGTCCTTATCCTCCTGCAGCACAAACCAGAGAGCTCACTGATCTACTCCCACAAGACAGAGGCCAAGCCTGAGACAAGGGCGTGAGTGACTCCATGAGCAGCTCCCCTAGCGGCAGCCTGCAATGGTGTGGGGATGGGAAAGAATGGCAGGGATTGATAGAAGAGGGTGTTAGAGTTGGGGGAGCCCAAGGGCTGCCCACGCAGTGCAACCGGTAAAGACTCATTTGCACAGAGCAGGGCTCGGAGAGGAAGGGGCCACCTCACATTGCCCACACTAAGACAACAGGCTAAAT